TCCCCCTGCTTACAATACTTGTGGGCCCACACATTGCTTATTGAACTGTACTTTACAATACTGTGACAGTTAGGAAGCGGCGGCGACAGCAGTATTGGGTGAAGAAGAATGCCAAGTGCCAGCTGCCAAAGCGGAGGCCACGTGCCACAAAGGATGGTGGGTCCTTTGAGCTACCACCTGCTCAGCCGCGCAGGAAACTTGTCATAGCAGACAAACTCAAGGTGGTGAAGACCTGGTGGGCATTGAATAGAGAAAAGAAGGCTGCTCTCGCTGTCCTTACTGAGCCGAGGCCAGCTCGCATGACAGGTCCGGAAAGAGCTCAATTCCGTGCCAGAAAGCAAGAAGCCAAGAAAGTCGCCAGGATGAACATCCAAAAGGCGTGTGCAGAACAATACCCAGAAGTGGTTGGCAAGTGTCAGGTGTGCAAGTGGACCAAGGCAGCGGAGAGGGAGGGCTGGGAGCATTTGCCTGAGACAGCCCAAGCACGGGAAGTGACTACATGCAATGGATGGAGAGTCAAGCGTGGATTACCATCTCGTGGTCGGGAGACAGGAGGTGCAGTGCCACAGCTTTTGCAAAAGGAGCTGGACAGGCTCATCATGCTGCATGCTCAGGGAATGTCTGAAATATCAGAGCGCTCAGATATTGTCACCTCAGAGCATATTGTAACTTGTCCTTCTTTGAGCAAGTTTTTGTGCTGTAGCACATTAACATAGAACCTGCACTCATTGCTCTCAGGACAATCAAGTGTGGTCATACATTAACATAGAACTTAGACCCTACATTCCTTACTCTCCGGACAATCAAACTTGCGAGGCGACTACCATTGAGGGCATGATTCGGGAATGGAACTCCTGCCAGAAAGAAGCTCAAGAACTTGTAGAGCGTCAGAATCAGGAGCTGGTGGACAGGCATGAGAGGGGCGAGCTGACAGCCGCTGCTTTGGCGGCAGGATTGCAGGATGTCCCGGAAACACTTGCCATTCCATCGAAACAATGGTGCAGAAAGTTCCGGATCAACTTTGGGTGGAGTTTGCTGTCACGCGGTGGGGACACTCAAGCGTACCTACCATATGCGCATCCTGACATGCAGGCATCCAGGGATCATATGGCAGCCACGTTAGCCGATGGTGTTCATGGAGCGCTGGTTTTGAACTTTGACCAGGTATGGAGGTGTGCCTTCCAGTTCAATGGCCGTCTTTTCTACAAGCCACGTGAGGCAGTAGGAGAAAGATGTTCAATCAAGAAGGCTCCCCACCATGTAGACAAAAAGCTTCATTACATCAAAGGATGCAGAAAAAGCTTGACAGTATCTTGGCTGTAGTTGTAGTTTCCAAAAAGACATACTGTACTGTACATATGTACAGCCCTGTACTGCATACATACTGTAACCCTACCCCAAGCTTCCATGTTAGTGTATGCTGGTCTGCTGAGGTATTAACTTCAAGTTGGTCCGATGGTACGCCAGGACCTATCGCGTTTTGCTGCCCAGACGGAGCTTTGTCGGTCTCAGAGATACAGGAGTTCAATGCCTCCCATGTGGCATCTGCCATGGTGGTGCCTTCAGGCACCAATTCTCATTTCATGACAAGCGACACCCTGCTTCAAGTGTGGGAACAGCTGTACTCTCCGGCCTTGGCAAAGCAACGCTCTCGGTCACTCAGCCTTTGCAATGGGTGTTGTGCAACCTTTGCTTTATACTGTCCTACTACTGTGCTGTACAGTGTGCTGTACTGTAACTTTGCACTGTACTGTATTGTAGTTTCACAGGAAACAAGGATTAGGATGACTTCCACGTTAGAGGATCTTTTTGGGTTTGGTACTGTAAGGTATGGATTGAAGCTGGATGATCCTGGAGCTGAAGCTGCCTTTTTGGCAGATGCTTGGAGTGGAACGCACAGCTCAAGCAAAGGAGAAGACGCAAGAAGGCCAGAGATTCTAGAACTGTACTGTAGGCTGCTGTGCTGTACTTACTGTACAGGAGTGTACAGTACATGTGCAATGTACTGTACTTTCTTATCATATCTAGGTGACTCCAGGATTTGTACCGTAATTACACTTACATGGAAGCCAATCATAGGAGGCTTACTCTACTGCATACAGTACTGCGCGTGAACTGCAAACCCCAATGTTACAGTACAGTAACTTTTACTGCAACACCCATCCAGGCGGGCATTTTGCAAGCTTCACCGAATCAGAGAACCTCGGAAGCAACCTGGTGGTTGGAGTTGTCACGGCCAACCTGTCGATCAGTGTCATATGCAGTATCGGGAGAAGATCAGAAGCCTTGATGTGAGCAGCCTCTCGATGCATGCGGACCTTCGCTCCAGGGCAGCTTTTGAAGAGGTGAGCATGAGAGCAAGTGGCCAGTTGGTGAGGGAGGTCAAAAGTTGGCTATCAGTGGTCAATCTTTCTCTTGATGCTTGGCGCCAGCTGGATCAAAAGGTCTTTCAAAGTGCTTGGTTGCTTTGCGGGTACTTTGGTGAAGAGCACTTTGCCAAGTACCAGGGGTCGGGTGTGAGCTCTGTCACGTTCGATGATGCCATGAAGATCTTGTCCAGCCCATTTGGTCCTTTGAAGGGAACCCCACAACGCTGCACCGTCTTTGAGTGGCAAGTTCAGGCCTGCTGTCTTTTTTACAGGTACTGTACTGTGCCTGGTTCTAGGTACTGTAGCACCACTAACATAGAAGCTGGTTGTACTGTAACCTTCAGGGACATTGTTTACTTTATAACCTATAGATCACTAACATGGAACCTGTGGACAGGTGGAATCTGGCGAGTGGCAATCGATGTCGTATGAGCTTGCCAGCGCATTTGTCCGGACCCTGATGCTTCATGGTGCAAAGCTCAGGGCTGCAAGGAACTCTTTTTTGGAGCTCTCTGCTCTTGATGAACATCTCAAGAAGGCCGCAACCAAGAAGGCCAAGCAAGAGTTTGAGAATCTCAAGTCGGTTAGCCGATACATGGTCTTCAACCCTCGAACCGGTGAGCTTGCGAGTCAGCAGTGGCTCAACAATCACATCCAGGTCATGGATGGGGTTCCCTGTATGAAGAAGAAGCTTGGAAAGGCCTGTCCCTTTATAGTCACTCTTGGGTTTGACTTGCTGCCTGTTGGAGATGTCAAGCTCACGGTGAAAACAGCTCCAGACAAGCCAGCGCTTCCAGTAAGATGATTTGATCTTCGTGAAGGGGGTGCCCAATCCAAGTTCACATTCCTCATGGATGGCTATGACCATTTAGCAGCGGAGGTTATTGTGGATGAGGAGGAGATGGACGATGAGGGTGCCAATGATGAGGATTTCTTATGGAATGATGAAGATGGGCTTCAAGGCATCTCTCCTTTCTCATGGTTTGAGTTCTTTGTTAGTGAACTGTGGGTCATCATTGCAAAGACTTGGGGTACACTAGTGCATTCATCTTTGGTGATTTGTGTAGCAGTCAACTGCCTTGTTAGTGTACTGTATGTTTTGGAATCATTTACTGTGCTGCAACACACTGAAGGCCAAGATCCAACCGACCAAGTGGTCCTCGATCCTGCTCCCGCGCCCGCGGGAGGTTCAGAGAAGGTGAAAATGGCTCCACTTGCTGACAAGGAGATGGAACTCTTTGGTGAGGAGGAGTCCGATTCCGGAGAGGTGCTGGAGCAGGCCATCAAGGTGGACCCATCCGAATTCATCCAAATGCACCTGGAAGAGAAATGTGCTTCTCTTGATTCTGAGGAGAAGGCAGTGGCTGTCGCTATCAAGCAGCCGTCGTTTTTCAAGAGAGAAGCTTTTGTGGCTTTGCACGCCGCCGGACTGACGGAAATTCCGAACAAGTCTGGAGTTCACATTTGGTGCCATCAATCAAGCAGCCAATGGCATGCTCAGTATCCTGGCAAGAGCTACAGCCCTAGCTGGGGTGCCACCAGGAGTGAGCAAAAGGCACTGGGCTTAGCGCTCTTGAAGCTTTGGGCATGGTTCGTAAAGGATCATCCAGAGAATGAAGCAGCTAAAGCACGCTTCTCTTTCATGCAAGATGCAGTACAGCATTTGGATTAACTTTGAACCTTCACAGTACAGCTGCCATGTCTTACAAACAGCCGAAGGGAATTGAAAGCGGTGATGGGGAAAAACGGAGTGATTGTACAGAGTGCGCTGACACTTCACTAACCTGGAAGCCATGGTGTATTGATGTAAATGTGTTGTTGAGCTTCCATGTTAGTGCTGCCAGAGTGGGTGGAGGAGGTATTTCAGGTGGGTTCTATGTTAGTCTTGGTTGCTGACTTTTTTTTCGGTTTCCCTAACATGGAAGGTGGATATGTGTGTTTGGAATTCCACGTATAAAGGCCTTTTTGGGTTCTCCACTTCCACGTATGTGTGCGGGAGTGTACCCGTTTGGGCTCGTGGCCGCCCCCTCCGTTTCGGTTCGATGGGCCAGGGGTGGGTGCCATGGGGGTCGAATACCACCGAACCTGAGGATATGGTTGGAGCCCTAGGGATAATATAGTATAATATATATAGGTACGGTGAACTGACAAGAAACAACGAGAATTCTCCAGAAACGAGTGCCAAACAATGACAAATGTTGTTCAAACCATCCTCTGTCTGGATCCACTTTCGGTATGTGTGAAGCTTGAGTAGGTTAAAACAAGTTAGTGTCTAAAATGTTCCGTGTGTGCATGCCGTCTAAGGGCGCGTGGCCATGCTCCAACCACGGACCGAGCCTGGGCCTATTACCGACTCGCAGGGTGCCTGGGTCGTGTTCACGCACATCAGCCGATCTCAGTCAACCGCCTATCCCAAAAACGACCGCTCCATGCCTACATAAAAAGAGGCCCCAATGACTTTCTCAAAGGGTACATAATGTTGACTCTTGATTAATAACACCCCCCCTTTGAAGAGGTCCACGCGCGTCAGATTCTGTCCACAAGTTTCGTGCATTCAAATGGGGGGTGTATTAATCAAGAGTCTACATTAATGTGGATCCCCAGGTCTGAAACTTGGATTGAACAAGTCACCGGAATTCCCGGGGAAGCAGCTGCACTCCGTCTGCTGTGGCACGTTGGGGCCGCAGGTGGCCTCGAACGTCTTTTTTTTCGAAGGCCGTTGGAGGAGTTCGCGTGCTCTGAAAACCCACGGTGGGATGTTTCGGAACGTGGAACAACCACATCCACTCCCATGATTGGATCTGCTATACCTCTTTAATTCATGTTTGTTCTATCCTCCGAAACAGGATCAGTCCGTCCTATCATCAACTCCAGTAATTACTGGAATCACCGCGGTGGAATCGCCGTTTCCACATGGCCCGTTGGGATGACCGTTTTCAAGCATGAGGTACCGAGACACAATAAAAGCAGCAACCAAGGGATCCAAGTACCTTCTCAGAAGGTGATGTGTTCGACACTGTTATGTAGGCTTAGAGGGCCCAAGTACCTCCTGAGAAGGTGGCAGTGGATCCCTAGGGCAGGTACCATCAACATCCATCAACTGTTTTTCACTCCATCACTTCCGTGTATGTAGCAGCAAGTGTCCGAACCAGTATACTCTGTTGTGAATTGATATGAACTGCAAAGGCGAAGCATGAACGCCAGCTGTGAAAGAGTCACAGCTCCAAAGCATGCGTTCACCATGTGTACATCAAGTTCAAAGCATGACCACCTTCGCAAGATCACAAGATCAGTCAAGATCCACCCAACAAACTACACTAGGACCATACCCCGGCGGCGGCTCCAACTGCAGCGTTGCCTTCTTCTCCTTCACCAAAGTTCCTAAGATCTTGCTGTCATTCTGGGTGTACCTCACAAGCTGCGGCTGTCGGCCGCCTTGTCCAAACACACCCTCTTCCACGCACCGAGACAAGCTGATCTAACAGGGCACCACTGCCATCTAGCCCTGCTAGCCCCCGAGCTGTTGGCCTTCTGCTGGTTCCTCTGGAGGGGATGTCCCACTTCGTTTTAGTCCAATCCCATGGGACGCCATGGGGTTGGAGTGACAAGTTGACAAGTGGACAAGCACTTTTCCCCGTGAAAGAAGCCCCAAATTCCGCGCAAGCCCTTTGCGGATTCAATCCCGTAAGGGCTTCAACCATCGCCCACAGTCCGCGTTCCACCCTTTTTTTCGCCGATCCTGGTGATCCTTTGCGGGGCGAGATATCTACAGGCGCGTGGATTGATCATGATGGCCTGGATCAACCTTCCAAATTTCCCAAGACATTTTTAAAGGGAAAACATAGACCAATCACGGTCTGTCACGGTTCGTCACGCCCTGGTATGCTTGGTTCTTGGGATTTCATGGTCTTATCCTCCGACAATGATACTGGAATATAAATACATTTCAGGTACCCCAATCTGTGATTCGACAACGTCTTCAAATAACACGATCAATAGAAACGTATGCATATCCTGAGATCATTTCTATTTGTGACCTATGTGTGGTCATGGATTGTCAGGGAATCAAGGACCCTCAACTTCAAAGTGACAACTCTGGATCACATGCGTCAAGCTACGTGGAGCCCCTAGTCCAGGAGGTCGGTCGACCCAGTCAACGACTCCCAGGTGACGACTCTCAGTGGTCCGAGGTGCATTCCAGCTTGCACTGGTCCATTCCACTGGTCAGTGCCAACGACATAGTCCTGCAAGTCGATCGAACCATGAAAACAGGAACATCATCTTCTGACGTCCGGACGTGAGAAAACGTACAGCATAACACAACAAGCCTTTTCACGTGTTGAAAGATGCTATCATACAGCATAACACAACCATAACTACTCTTTCAAACATTTTCGCGCAAACATGACTAATTATTCATATTTATTCTACTTTCATTGCCTGTGACCAGCTATAGTACGGTGCAACGTTTAGGATGCCCGCTCTTTTTACCCTACGAACCGTGGCCGTTACCCACCACCCAGGAGCTGTTCCACCGCACTTCTTCAACCCAAAAGCTCGCCCTTCCTCTGTTGGCATGTGTTTGTTTTCATGTGCCCAAAGTCTTACCCCAAACTCCAAGTGGCAATGGAATAGGACAAAAAAAACCACCACTCCTGGTCACCTCCGGGTCACCTCCGGTTCGATCGATCGATCGATCTCCATCTCCGCTGAGAACGGTCCTTGAAGCTCATGGTCGCTGGTCGGTCACGCTGATGGTAGTAAACGGAATCGTCGAAGGGAACCTGACGGAGAAGCGGCGGCCGCCGACCAAGCACGCCAAGCGTGGTCAAAACCCTACGGTTTGGAACGGCGAAGCGATCAAACGGGGCGGGTCCTGAGTTCACCTCATGAGCAAGTCTACTATCCATTGACACATGAAGTGATGAACACATCACATGGAAGTGGCTGCCATGGCCATGACAGGGAAAATTGATAGAACAATATAGAAAATATATGAAAATATATCAACATATGTTCCGTTCCACTATAAATGATTTTTCCTGCGCTTCTACGGCTTCCACCTCACTTCCGGAGCCCAAAAGTGTGCAAGATGTTCTTCATATTAGGCTTCAGCTGGACACTCTCACTCCCTCCAAACATGGGTCCTTGATGTTCAAATATCTTCAAAGGAACAAATCTCTTGAGATCTTCAGATCACTTGACAGTCGCCCTCAAGGAGTAAGAGATGTCACAGTGAAATAATAGTTGGATGGAGCTCTATCATATATATATATGTATATAGCTATGTTATTCATAGGGTTCTCCGAAAGCCCCAGACCCTGTCTATAGATTTATAGAGGACATTTCAACAGCTGCTTGTTCTGAAGGACTCACATGTACTCGTAAACAGGTAGCAAAGCGATGAAATGCCACATGTTCCAGCCTCTGACAGAATCTGATGGAGGGGAAGCGGATCAAAGGAGAAGTGGCATGCAAGTGACTGACATCTACAATGGGCCCAACAAGAACATACACAAACCCAAAAAAACTGCCAACAACGGACTCACCGCAAAAAACTCAAGACTGGAGGATGCTTTACCAGCTTCTTTTCTTAGGACACTGACAACTGACCTCAAAAACAGCAGGTCGTACAGCAAGTCTTAGAGCTTCACAAATGCTAGCTGCAGCTTCACAGGTGTCCACTGGACAAACCTCAATTTTAATGCCCCCCAACGGCACCAAGAGGATCCCCAGTCCGTCAGAAAACAGTAAACAAAGTCTAATAATAGTAGACATACGGTGAAGTAAGTAGTAATAACAAAAATAAGTAAAACAATAAACAACAAAAAGTATAGTAATAACAATGAGATGGCGAAGTCGAACAAAAACAAGAAAAACCGTCCCGTCTCCCCTCTACTCGGACTCTTGGAGGACACGGACTTCGAACACACGAATTTTGTGGGTTAAAAACACAACCCTTCTCTTGCGCCTCTTCTATAGCACCCCCCCTCTTGGTATTTTTCGTCCAAACGTCGGGAAAAGCCGGCCAGCGCCTCGGACTACTCCACTACTCCAGTCTCGTCGGGAGTGTTTGGGTAGGCAAGCTTGGAAGGCCATGTGTGCTCAAAATGCTGCACACATGCATGCGTTTGGAACCTTAGGGGGAAAAAACACACACACTTAACAAAAAACTGCAATTAAGTATAATATAGACCATCATAAACCTTTGGGCGGCAAAAGTTAGGGCACATCGCCAGAACCTTGGAGACCCACCATGACCCGCCCAGAAGCGATCTTGTTTAAGACCATCTTTCCTCGGTCCGCTGACGAGATCGCATCAACCCCGCTTCCCTCCGCGGAGCTCAAGTGACGCTGCACGAAGGTCATCCAACTGGTGCGCGTCTGGACTGCACTACTTATAGGGATCTCCAGACGTCCAGACACCCAGATGGTCGTACGTAGTGTCCGGACGTCTGGACGCCCCGGCCCACTACTCTCCAGGATCTCCAGACGTGCAGACAGTGTCTGTTCCATGGTACATAGCGGCCGGTGCCGCAAAAACAAACAAGACCAAGTCAGTGGACCGGACGCAAGTGTGGAACAAAAGCGACGAATGGGCACCAAACAATGGGCACCAGGAAATGCACGTGGTCAATGAGTCAATGAGTCCATGGATTTTTAGTTATGGAGTCAACAACATCGGCCACCAAAATCCATGTGCATGGTCTCTTTCCCCTATAGAAACAAACATCCCAGGACAGGTTCCTCCGAATGTTGGAGTTCAACGCTACACACCTCAAAGAATCACAAAAACTTCTGGGCACTAGAGTGATGGAGAGAATATGTTTCATTTTCTTACATGATAAATCATAACATCCATTATCGATCGACATACCTTCTGAGAGAGTAATTGGAGACACTCTCATGTAGGATGGAGGATTTTTCAACTACCTTCTAAGGAGCTACTGAGCTACTTGGATCCCTGAGGATCTCAATTCAGGTGTGGTTCTAGTGTTTCTAGTCAGTTGGAAAGCCCAAGTTCGTTCTGCTGCGAGTGGCCATTCTTGTGAAGAGGTGCCATGTGGTTCCTCGAAGCGAAAACAGGCAACTTGCTTTCAAGTCCTCCAAGATGTAGCTGGGTTGGTCTTATCTAGAATTTCTGAAAAATTATGACAAGATGATTACAACAATGCCCTACTTTGTGAAAACATCATCTATTCCAGAAGTAACTTGGAGTAGTTGGTCAACTAGTGTGCTCAGGCCGCTACTCTTTCACCAGAAAGAAAAAAACAACACACAAAACAGCGCACCAGAAACACCGCTGGATGGGGGGGTGTTTAGCACCCACCACCTGCTGAACAGAGTGAGCTCCTC